AGCCAGGAGAAGCAGTCATATTATGACTTCCTAGTAGTACTAAAACTTGGAACATCTGCTTCACTCATCACCCAATCCGGCCCTCGCCTTCAAATGTAGCTTGAAGTCCATAATGTCACCCTCCCACCGTGTCACAGTTTGATTTTCACATACCCATATCTCATGGGCAACCTGGTTTATGAGCCTGAAATCATGACTAACAAGAACCATGCCACCGTCCCATTCATTCAAAGCCTCGGCAAGTGAGTCAATTGTCTCAATATCAAGATGGTTGGTTGGCTCATCGAGAAGCAGCATGTGAGGTTGCCTAAAAGCTAACCACGCAAATATTACCCGGCTACGTTGACCGTCTGACAAGTTTTTCATAGGCATGACTTGAGCTTTACCAGTAAGGCCAAACCTCCCAATTGATGCCCTCATTTTCTCCTCCTCGTTCCCTTGATACTCTTTTATCATGAATTGAAGAGCAGATAATTCCATGTCAAGCTTCTCAGCCAAGTGCTGGTGGAACTGTGCAATCCGAAGGTGATTATGCCGCCTAACCATGCCATCAAGGGGAACCAACTCCCCTGTCATCAGCTTAAGTAGCGTGCTCTTTCCAGCTCCATTAGGTCCCACCAGTGCTACCCTTGAATCAAGGTCTACACCAAAATCTAGGTTCTTATAAATGAGATTATCGGGTGTGTAGCCAAATGTCACTTCCACAAACTGCAGAACAGGAGGGGGGAGTTTGCCAACATTAGGAAAACGGAAGACCAGAACCTTGTCCTTTGCCACCTTCTCTGTAAGCCCTCCACGCTCCATCTTAGCCAGTGTTTTCTCTTTACTTTGTGCTTGACGGGCTAGTTTGGCAGATCCATGTCCAAAACGAGCAATGTACTCCTTCATTGAAGCAATCTGCTCCTGTTCCCATCTGTACTGTTTCATCTGATTTTCTTCCAACTCCTCACGGGTTTGGACATATTGGTCATAATTACCGGTGTAGAGCTTCAACTTCTTATTTTGCATATGAATGATGTTAGTACACACACCATTTAGAAAGTCTTGCGAGTGTGAAACAACAACCAGAATACGGTCAAACTTCTTCAAGGTTTCTTCTAACCACACGCAAGCCTCTAGGTCTGTATTCAGGAAAAGAATATCATAAGCATGTCAAATCTACAAATCTGTGATTGAAAAATTCAGCAAACCTTCCATTAGATCCATTAGTATGAACAAACGACAATATACTATGTTATCCCTGTATTTCCTTTCTGTTAGGAGGGAACTTCGCGTCACTACTTAGTAGAGGGAAACAGTCGCAGAAAGACACACCGGGAGAAATGCTGTAACCAGAGCGAAATAACATGTCTAAGGTCCCGTATTAAATTCTATAACGTCAGTTCTCATTATATTCATTTGTCCAGAATGTAATTAAAAATGTCTCCAACCAAGCATGTCGCAACACAATATCTTAAATACTAGAAAAATGCATAAGAAGATTACCTAGATGATTGGTGGGTTCATCAAGCAGCAAAATGGTCGGATTCATAAACAGGGCACGAGCAAGAGCAATTCTCATCCTCCATCCACCGGAAAAATCTCGTGTTTTTTGTTCTTGCATTTTCTTGTTAAATCCAAGACCAAACAGGATTTCAGCTGCACGCTTCTCAGCAGTTGATGCATCCAAAGCTTCCAAACGCTCATAGATGCGTTCAAGTTGCTCTCCACCACCATCATCCTAAGGATAGACACAAAACGAGTCGTCACATTCGCCCAAAAAGAGAAGACCAAGCCTATGGAATACATTGCCAGTTTATTATTCAGGGCACAATACCTGTGCAGCCAAGACTTCAACTTCTTTCTCCAATCTCAACCTCTCTTCATCGCAACTAATAACAGCTTGAAGTGAGGACATGTCAGACGCTTCAATCTCCCGCGTTAGATGAAAGATATCCATATGATCTGGGATGGGAAGTTCACGACATCCTATAGCAGAAAGAAGAGTAGACTTCCCACAGCCATTAAGCCCAAGCAAACCATAACGTCTGTGCAATTAATATCCCAGGATATGACCATCAGCTTTACTAAGGAAACAGTAACACAAAGAGATAACACACCTTACCTTCCATAGTTAAGCTCCAGTTCAGAATCAACTATAAGATCATGTCCGTGAAAAGTAAGTGATAACGATTCTATCTGCAAACAAAGAATACCAGAATTAATATAACTGTGAGTCTTGCATGAAAGAAAACTTCCTCTAGGTAATAATCTTTTTTTTAGTTACCGTAAGTCCAAAGCCATAAACAAGGGTGCTTCTTGTTCATGAGTAATAATAGCCATATGCAACTTCACCAATCAAGACCCTTGTTCCTAACTAAGTGAATATGGGATAGCTTCAGCCTTCAGCTATTGACTGATTCTTTTTAATCGAGAAATCTCTGAGGGCTAGTGACACATGGTTTAAGACCGTTACACGCAGCTAACCCACACATGTGGTTTGCCCTCTTACCACTAGACCAAAGCCCCACGGTTATAGACTGATTAACGTACCAAGATTTGGAATATCACACTATGCACAAAAACACCCAAGTGATTGTTCTAGTGCAAAGGAGATCAAGGAAGTGAACAATCAAAGGATCATAGGTGTCATAAGTTAGCAATGACGAATAACTAGAGGAGATAAACCCAAGACTAAAAAAATCATTTATTTAAGCATTTAGAGAGTGTATTGCAAAAAACATCCAAGACCAGACTATTGATGTGTTCATAATTTAGCTTGTTGAGATATTTGGGTATTTTAGCCAGTCTTGCACCTCATTTTTTTCAAAATTTAGTATGTTATTCTAAATACTTTTTTTCATAACAGTATCTGTTTAGATTTATGGTTCAAATATTCTAATGGGCAATAATATGACAATTTCTACAAAATTCAAGACAAAATGTTGCTAACTTGATTGAAATGATTTCCACTTATATATTTTCAATTCCAAGTCATTATACTTTGGAAATACTCTCAATTCCTAAATAGTTAAGCACAAGTTTTCCCCCTATGAATCAAACTAGATTTTCCGGCGCTTAACAAGGTAATAAATCCAACCGTTCAATTCCAGAAAAACCAAAAAAGAACTAACCCGAATATCTCTGGAAAGTGGATGTGAACATAAAACACCGGTACAAGTCCGATCAGACAACTGAATATCTCCTACCCCATTCGTTAATTCATCGACATCATTACTCTCCGGCGGAGTAGCTGTTGCAGCCGCTGCCGCCTTCATCACCGCCGCCTTAGACTTCCCTCCTCTCTTCGCAGCTGCTGCTGCCTTCTTCTGCGCCTCTCTCTTCTTACTCGCATCCGACACCATCTATCAATTTTCAGAAGAAAAAAAAAACTTTCCGATCAGAAAGCAAAAACTACAATAATATGTAATTCAATCGAAAAAAAAAAAGTTACCTTGAAAAAGTATATGTTAATCAGAAGATTTTGCAATAATCAGATGTGTATTAATCTTCTTTTTTTCTGTGATTCTAGTTCTGAGGATGAGGATTTTGAGGGTAAAAGAAGATGTTTTTGGATGAATATTTATAAGAAGAGTGTGGGAAGAAGATGATACACGTGTCAGTTTTACTGTTGAAGTTCAGGAGAATTTGATCGGTGATGTTTAGAATTGCGAATTCTCTTCTTATTTAAGTTGCGTAAATTGACTAGGAACTGAAAATGTCACACTGATTATTTGTCATATGAGAAAAATGCCACGTCGATAAAAGTTAAGTATTAAATAGCTAACTAAATTCAGGTAATTGAGACTAGTATCGATAATTTAGGAGGATTGCAAATTTAAAATGGTCTTTGGGTTTTCTGCTCTTTTTTTATTTGGTTCGTATTATTTTCCATTTTTCTACTGTTTCTTAGCAAAATATATAGGCAGTGTAAGTGTTCAGCAAAAACACATAATCAATCATGTTGGAAATATAATTCAAATGGATTCAATAACTGATGTTTTCGCCAATTGTAATTTGTATATCATTTATTTTTTATATCTAGAAATGATTATTTTTTATTCCATGTAAAACAAAAAGGGAAAACTAAAATTTTATCTCAATTTTATTTTGTGTTTTTATTTTTGACTAGATACAAAATGTAAGAACATGTCATGTCAGTAATGGAAAAAATGAGAATGCTTGGATTAAATTTTTTAAAATAAGAAAATGTGATCAAATATATTTGTTGAGAAAATAGGTTCCAACAATTTTTTCCAAGTGTTGAAAATTAACTGCAACAATTGAAAAGACTGCACAAAAATAGGCCAAGGAAAGTGGGAATAGAGCGTCAGTCTGTCTGTCTGCATCTCAGTCTCCCCTGTTTTTGTCTACACATAAGCAATTGCCTCCACTCCAAAAAGAGATTTCTTGCATAAACTTGTCTCAACCAGGGTTATCTTTTTCTCTTTGCACTTTTCAGGAACGTAACATTAGGTGTAATAACTCCAACTAATTGATGGTTGCAATGATAGTTATAGTCCCTTCTCTTGTCTCTTGATAATAAAAATATATTTGTTTTTATGTGCGGTTACATGGACTTGACGGTGCAATCTAACATAAAAATTGTGAAATTTAAAATAAAATAGTACTATTTGAAAAAAATAAATAGATTATAAATGATATTTGAAAATTGAAATTGTGGTTAGACCTGGTTTTTGAAAATGGGAATCCTACTTTAATTTGTATTAATCATAGCATGGAAAAGGAACTAATCACTCGCCTTCTACCAAATGAATGAACCAATGTCACCATAAGTAGACAATAGAACAGTAGAAAATGAAGTACTCCATATATTTAACATAAATATAAAAATATTTCTCCTACTAACCTCATTACCTCAGTAACATTCACTAATGTTCTTACAAAAGTTTTACTAGCAAAAAGGGAATGAAACTGTTCATAATTAAGCCAATTCAACAATAATGATATCCAATCTTCCTATTTTTTATTTACAATTCTCATCTACATTTTTCTAAACATCACATAATACTGCAAGCATTGGCATTTTCATCACTGAAAAGCTGAGTAGCATGAAATGCAGTTGCATCCAGCTCCGGATACTCATATTGTTCCTTCTTCTCGCCACCGCCTTGCCCATCCTTCCCTTTTTCGTTGCCCTTCCCTCCTCCTCCGCCCCCGCCTTCTTTCTTCTCTCCCCCTTCCTTCTTTGGCGGGACAATTTGGACATCTTTCTTCAGCTGCTTCTTCAGTACCTCCACCAGTTCCTTCATGTCCATTGAACCAATCACTGTCACCAATTCCTTTTCCTGATCAATTTTCATCTCCTTGTAACCTGCATTGGCCGTGAACATTCCATTCAGGATAACTAACTATAGTTAAAATGGACAGCATAAGAAGAATGTTGATTAATCAATCTCACCTTTGTTCTTAGTGATAGCTTTTTGAATCTTCTGGATGCATCCTTCGCAATGTAGATGCAACTTCAGTATCACAGTGGTTACCGGAGGCTACATGGATAATTAATCAGTAAGTAATATTCATAAGAAAACCACCATTTAATTTGCACACGTAAAATTTGAATAAATCCTTAATATAAGGCTCCCCATAAAAGGCTAAACTGCGCCAAATGCATTAAAAGACAAAAAGAAAAAAACAGAATGAAAACGACGTACACAGATTTGTGCGGAATAGTGAACAGAGAATATGCAGCGAGGAGGAGCATTACCTCTTTCTCTTTGGTTTTCTTGTCGTCTCCTTTGGTACTCTTTGGTTCATTTTCATTCTGCTTCTTCTCTTTCTTACAATCCTTTGGTAAAGGAGAGATAAGTTGTACAGCCCTGTTCATCTTTCGCTCCACCTTCACCTTTAGCTTCAACGCATCCACTTCTCCGATTGCCGTCACCTTATTGGTTTCGCTATCAGAGATCACCTTCTCCACGCCTTTTTCAGCCGTAACAGACCAGAAATTAGGAAAATCAGAGACAAGGAAACGAACGGATTGGATGAAAACAGAGCAACATTCACAATAATCTGTCTAAAATCTAACTTGGAAGCAAAAAGAAGGAACAAAACAGAGCAACATTCACAGTAATCTGTCTAAAATCTAACTTGGAAGCAATAAGAAGGAACAAAACAGAGCAACATACAATGATTTTTACCTTCAAAGCTTCGAACGACTTTGAGAATCTTACGGACGCAACCTTCGCAATGGAACTCCACTTTCAAAACCACATTTCGGTTGTTCTGTTCATTCTTTCCTCCTTCCTTCTTCTCCTGGTGCTGTTCTTCGCTCTTCGTCTCGCCTTCAATATTCTTGCTGCTGCTCTTATTCTGCAAACCTCACACAATGACAGTTAGCCTTATCAAATCATGGATACAAAATAATGAGAGAAATTATCAAAATGGAGAATCAATTTTCAAATCCTTACCTTCCCCATTGTATTCCACCAAAATTACTCCTGAAACAGAGAAAGGGTTGAAGTGTATTTATGGGGGGGCTAGGTAGCCTGAGGAAGAAAGGGCGTAGTTGTACGGGATGATAGTGGATAAGTGGAACGGCCATGTACGGAGAGGTCATAGGTAGCCACGTTGGCATATATATTCATATTATATTGATCATATATTTTCAGTTTATAACAAACTCAAAGGGATCAAAAGAATTTAAAGACAATTACTTCAAAAATTATTTTTACTATAATAAATGAAATTAGTAACACTAAAATAAGATAACTTACTTGTAAATTGGACATCTTTTTTCCAAATTGCAGTAGGGGAAGCAAATGGTGGAGGGTGTAGCAAGTTCGTCAAGAAAGTGAAAGATGAAATAATCAATCAACGATGAAAAAAAAAGAAATAATCAATCAACCGATTATGAATAATTAAAAATTCTCCAGTAATTGGACATCACTAGGGAGGCAAATGAGAGGAGTGGATTAAATTTAAACAGATTGAATTGTAATCGACTCATATAAATATGAATAAATTCAAATATGGATTAAAAAAAAAAGGTCAAATATGAAACTAGTAAAATGATCCCAAAGGAAAGAAAAAATAATGCTAAAAGAAAAAAAACGGAAAAATAATAAATTAAACTAACTCAAAAGAGAAATACGAGCAAAACTGATAAGAATATATCAATTTCGAATAAAACTAATAAGAGTATATCATAAAGTAGTTAATCAATTAAAGCCTTTTAGTGTTAGAAAATAGTAAATTAGATATGTTACAACTTTTTTACATTAATAAAAATAGATTTAAAGAATCGTTAAAAAAAAGAAAAGAAAGAGATAAGTGTATTATTTTAAATCATAATGGAGGTCAGTGTAATAAAACGAAATTTAAAGAAAGGTCTTTGAAATGATATTTTTAGTGTGTTTGATGTGAAAAAAATATTTTTAAAAAATAATTAGTTTTTAAAAAATATTTTATGGGGAAATGACTTTTTTTATGAAACTAAATGACACTTGGACATAATTAAAAAAGGAAAAATTACAGAAATCCCACCTTTTAGTTTACTTATTACCATAATCCCCTATAAGTTTTACAAATCTCCAAAATTCCTCATTTTCGCGCATCAGATTAGTGTATCTCACGCATCAAATTAGTGTATCTCGCGCATCAAATTAGTGTATCATGTATAAAATGTACATCAGATTAGTGTATCATGTATAAAATGTAACGTATTTTACTTAACGATTAATGTATCTCGCGCATCAGATTAATGTATCAACGTTTATATTATTGTATCCGTTTGAGAGATTTCTGTAATTATAAACTTTTAAGAGATAGATTGTAATTTTACCTTAAAAGTATGTGATTTCTGTAATTTGCACATACTATAATATCATAAATTATCACGACAGGTCTATGGATAGATACTGTAGGCCCAAGGTCTTTGACACCAACACCAAAATCCAAAAGATCAAGGACCCTGTATTCAATAGTACTTTTTAAGGGGTCGTTTAGAGTTGATATCTCTTAATCTTGTTATTTAGAATTGATATATTCTTCAATTTTGTTATTTAGAGCTGATATTTCTCTCGTTATTAAAGTGTTTCATATATACCCCTACAATTTACAAATGACTCAAATATATCATTTTCCTCTAACGGAAGTGAAAGAAAATAATTTTAATTTAATGTATTAGTTATTATTTTAAAAAAATATAATTCATATGGGGTATATTTGATCATCCTCACACGTATCAGCTCTAAAAAGAGTTGTCAAAAAGGGCCGGCCCAACCCCACCCGGCCCAAGCCTCGCGGGCCAAGAAATTTGAAGGGCTGGGGCGGGGTGGCCCTTCATTCGGAAGGGCCTGAATATGCTCAACCCAACCCAACCCTTGAAGGGCCGAGGGCTGGGGCGACTAGCCCTTTTTTTTTTCTTTTCAAACTTATAATTCTATAACATCAAGAAAATGAGAAGATTTTCAAATCAAATATGACAAACAATGGTGTTGTTTTAATAACACTAGAAAAAAGCCTAGTGTAATTATCATGTATCTCACATACCAGATACGCGAGCGAGATAAGTAAGTGATAAGCAAGATTGGAGGGAGGCGAGGGTTTGTCTATGCATCCTAGATACATGTGAATCTACTTTGATAGAGTGTATCTAGAACATATTAACCTAATTTTGAGTCCACATATTCCGAGATATATGTATCTGGACGTACCAAAATCTGGTAAAATTCATAATATTACAATATAGTGTGTATTTAAGTAATTAAATTATATACTAGTTAGATTATTGTAAGTTACCCTAATAAAAAGTTTTGGCCCATGGACCGACCCCAGCCTGGCCCCAATCAAGCCTCAAGGGCGAAGGACTTATATTGGCCGGACTTATAAGCCTTAGTTTTAAAAGGGCTTGAGAAATCTTATCCCAACTCTACCCCAATAACGGGTTGGGTTGGGCCGGCCCCATGGGCTAATCCCATTTTGACGGCTCTAGCTCTAAATGACAAAGTTAAGAAGTATATTAGACTTCTTTCCCTAAAATTAATAAGGATATCATATTAAATTATTTTATTTCATATTCTATATGAGATAGTAATTTTATTATTTCAGTATGAATAATGGGATAAAATAATTCTGGAATTGGTTGATATCTCAAACCAAACATGTGATAAAGTTAATCCCAAAGTTTATTTTGAAATTATTATCTTTATCTCACGTACCTAACAACCATTAAGATAGAAAATATCCAGTTCCCTTCTGCAATCATAGTCATCACAAAAATTTGATACCCCGCCACAACGTTATGTTGGATTTATCGATCACAATTCACAAGTGTATAGTTTTCTTGTCGAAATAACTAAATTGACGAAGGAAATGATGTAAAATGTACACTAAGTTAAGCTGATATGTTTATATATATATATATATGTATATATACATGGGCCGTGGCCGGAGGTATCTTTATGGCAAGAGGTGTTATCCGACATTACTTTACTATTTATTTATTTGTTACGAAATATACTTATAAAAATATGAAAATGTAAAAACAAGTATAATTCGTTCTTACTTATCATGAATTCTCTTACTACGGCCTCAAAAAAATTGTGATAAATAACTGTTATCTCCAGTATTCAGGTTAGTCAGAAATACAGAAACAGAAAGTAGATGAAATAGACAGAATGATTTTAATCCGAGTCCACAGAAACCACTGTGTTTCCTTAAGAAATTTAATCCCTTCACCGTACCCGAGGTTGCAGATTAATTCCTGTCAAGATAAAACGGATTAATCTGTTAAAGAAGTAGCGGTACCTCAAACTTCAATAACTTCAGCGAACGCAAGAACAACAACAAGAGCACACAGACTCAGTCGATCGACAATTTTGTTTATGTAAGAAAATTGTGTCTTTTGGGAAAAATAACGACTTTTCGAAAGGAACAGGTCCCTTCAGAAGGTTATTACCGTTGCACATGAATTTCAAATAAATTTCGTTGCGCCAAATTAATTATGTTATTTAACTAACATTCTGAATTAATTTATAAGAGAAAAGAAATGAATTAACAAGAGATTGATTAAATAAATTGTCCAAAAATATTATCAATCAATAATTTGCCCAATCCGAAGCCGAGGCCGAGAGAGTGACGACGACGGCGCGAGGGGGCACCTTCTTCTTAACCCTTTAAGAACTAAATGAAGTGTTTCCTAATATAAGGACAACAATTTCCTTTCTTCTACCAATATGGTAAAAATGACTTTTCATTTGCACTTTGCAATGACTTTTCATTTTCCCTCCAAAATTGGTTCCCCCACATTCATTGGTTCTTCCTCTTTCCATTTTCTCTTTTTATTTCCCATTCACACCTTGCTAAACCCAACAATAGCTTGTTCTTGCTTTGTATTTCATGAATTCAAATTGCGAGTAATCAGAATAGATTTTTCAAATTCAAGTAACTTGATTCTACGTATCTACCATTATACCCACAATGATCATATTATTATCCACAATGAAAAAAAGTATTTGCCTAGCTATATAAATGATAGTGTAGTAGGCTGTGAATTGAGAGAATTTGGATATACATTAAATTAGAGGACATACAAAAAGCGATAATAAATACTTCGTTCATATCAATATATATATATATATATATATATATATATATATATATATATATTTTAATGCTTATGATTCAGGAGGGAAGGCAAACCATATGCTGAAAAAAAAACATAAGTATATATTTAGGTGAACATATATATCTGTGTCTACTGAATTATTTATACCTGCTTAGTTCATCAGCTAGTGAAGATAACAGAAGTACATGAAAGTATTTAGTATATGTGACATCATTTATGAAAAATTAGTAGGCGTTTAGACATAAATTGAGCGATATTTGACAAAAATAAAATAAAAATTGAAGTTAAAAGTTATGACATGGTATTTGAAGGTTAAAATTGTACATTTTAATGAGTGGGATAAACATTCATTTGAAAAGCATGTCAAAAGCAGGTTTTTCTAAAAACCTATCTTCAAAAATTAACCAAAAAAATCATTCTAATTAATAAATTGTATATGCTTTAACATTTGAACTCAACGTGCAGCCAAAACAATATTTGTTCGAAATAGTGTTGTATAAAAAAAAATATGAAATTGATGTGTTGATTTTTTTTAAACATTTACTTTTGAAAATGTGCAAATGGTGATAAAAATAAAATAATGGCCAGAATAATATCCTATTTGTGCAAATGATCCACTGGATCAATCACCCAGTGTCATGCAATTGCTAAAGGATATATGAATAGTTCATCCCAATAACATCTACAATTCCCCTCTTGGACTGGCTTTTCTTCAAGTAGTTTATTTTAGGCCCACTTTAGCCCAACTCATTTCACGTCGGATTATCTTGACTGAGAATTTTTACGGGAGAAGTGTACATAGAGTCGATTTAAGGATGACTATTTGAGGTTTTTGTAAATTTCTTGTTT